CAGCCCAGTAGCTGTAGTCCTGCTATCACAGGGAAGGGCGGTGACGTCACCTGCTCTGGTACGCCGGCTCTTTACACAGTGCTTGTCGGCCGTAAGCGTTACAATATAAATCATTTTAATTAACCAGAGTGTAATCAAGTTAAGCTGGAAACATTTTGAGCAACATAAAGTAACTACGAAAAAAAAATATCCTGAAAAAAACAGCAACAAAATAAATGCACAACTCTATGTACTGTACAACATCCTTGAGTTACAGCCAGTAAGGAGCTAAAACATTATTATTTTTGTCATCTTTTGTGGAATGCAAATAACCCAATAAGAAAGGAACTTCACTAATAATTATCTTTAGTATTTGTTTATAAACATATATTATTTTTTGTCATATACAGAAACTTCAGCAGTGTAAATATTTTGCTTGATGACTCTTATTTAAGCATAAATAAAGTTAAATTTATATTGTAGCAATAGACAGACTGCTCCAAGCGGCAACACAATTGGATTATTAAAATATATTGCACTGCAGAATTATTTTAGCAGGCTGCACAAATATGTAAAAAATAACAAAACTGACTACAGGTGATTTCATACATTGTATTACTTTATCCAACAATACTGGGGCTCCAGATTTCCTCAAAACATGGTGACAGAAAACTCATCACCCCCTATAATTGTTAATAATTATAATTGTTCAGTCTTTCATTAACACTTGTAGAAGTTTTCATAATGAATGTTATGAAGTCATCATAACATTTCCTAATAAGCATACTGGTTAAAAAGTCAAAAAGAAGGAATTAAAGGGGTGAGATGAGGATACAGTATTTGAATTATAATGGTTTTTGAATAGTGTTTCTTGTACCTACTGTATGAAAGGCCGAATTTTGTTTGTGTGAACTGAACTGCTGATACATGCCAATTATTTTTCTAGTTGTCTCAGAAGAATAACATCAAATTGCTTGAAAGCATTTTGAAAGCATGTTCTATCTGCCTGAATGAAAAATTACCCCATCTGTCAGGAATAATGTTCAGTCTGTATGTAATTTAATATCAGTAGAAAAACCATATTCATTGAAAAATTAAATGCTAAACATAAAGCTTTTCTGGAGACATTCCTTACCATTTTGGTTATTTCGTAGCCTACAAAATATGACACAAACTCAAAAATAAAAAAGACATTTATATCACAATTTTATCAATTAAGTAATTAATGAAAACTTGAAAAAAAACTGTCTCCATAATACACTAGTGAAGAAGATAGAAAAAAGATTTTATAAAACCAAGAAAAAAAATTTCTAAAAAAATGACTAGGCTATTTAGTTATATAATATATTCTTCATTGCATTTATCCACTAATTTTAGTGCTCTTGTTGACTGAAACAGCTTACATTTTTACATGCTTAATGCACTAATAATTAGTGAGTTAGTTATCCAATGATATTATAGTGATCATGGACCAAACTCATATGTTGCATAAATATGAAACTGCAGCAATTGTATTTTAAGCGCACAGTGATCTTACCAAACCACATGCAGTGTTTTCATTCAAGATTGATTTTTCTGGTGTTCTTCTTGTGTTGACTGTCAATGCGTTCAGTCCTGCATGAGTCTTCTGCACAGACTTGAAACTTATAAATCATGGGCAGGACATTTAGGGAAGGTACCCCTTTTTGTCCAGAGGGGATTTAGGTTTGGTTTTCACAACATCCAATCGGAAAAGGCGGAATAGAGGTCCATTGTTTCAAACTATCATTATATCCACTATAAAATAAATGTTTTGTGATGCTTTGTGTATAAAAATATAAAAAAAAATTAGAGGCTTACAGACAAAAGACAAGACTATATTGTAGACTGCTCCTAGGAACACTTTAAAGCTAAGTAATAGAGGGTAAAGCACTTATAATGTATAACTTGATATTGATAATTATATCAAAGCACATAGAATATACTGATTTCAGTATCAGCCTAATATAGTTCAAGTAGGTAGCTTCGTCAGCATGCAAAGGCTGCAAACGAACAAGTAAAGGTTTATTATGTGCTGAAAAGAGAAGAAAAGAAACACAACCTCTCTTCTCTTTTCAGCATGGAATAAACCTTTACTTGTTCCTAATAACCTAATATATCCTAGTATGTGTGTAGGGAGCAACAGCTGAAAACACAACCCTGTTAAAATTCTGAATTTGTTTAACAAAATCTGAACATTTTCATTTCTCAAACCACATGTGCTAAGGAGCTCTTTCAAACAAGACAGAATCTATATTCCTGAAATATACATGTATATTAAATAATGAAGGGGCCTTCTTTAAATATCTTGCACTTACCAGTTAACAGATCAGTTTCAATTCAAAGTATATAAGTGAAATGATTTTGAATTACCCAGTTCTAACCAGATGTGTTTCATCTTACTCTGGTCAGGGGGACCTAAACAAAAAAGCAGCCATCAATAGAAACAAGAACAGGTGAGCATTTACTGTCATTAGCAGGCTACTCCTAGATGAAGACTCTCTTCATTATAATATAATCCATAATACTACATCGACACTTTATTACTTTTAAAAATCAGAGTATGTTCAATATTTAACTAAATTTAATAATAAATATATATATAGTATATTGCATTATAAATGAATAGAATCACTATTTAAATCAAAATCAAGACTAGTTTGAATAATTGTGCCCTAGCTAGAAAAGTAGATTTGCACGTCTCTGTTAAACACTATGTACTGTAATAATTTCTGAAAATTCAGCAAAAATATTCTTAAATTTTGTTTAGAATTAAAAGCTAAAAAAATATACGTTTTTTTTCTGTAGCTGCCCTTTTTGCTTTTCCATTAGCAGCACCCTCTGGATAGTTAATTACAACGCCTGCAATTTGCTTTCTCAGTCTTTCTTTCACGGCCAACTCTGCAAAGGAAAAGGGGTGCAGTGTTCTCAGTTTAAGATCTCATTTGGTTTTTCGTAGCAGCTAGTGACAGCTGAAGGCTTAAGAGATTGTGATTGTAAAGTGAATGTAAAGTATACCTTGTCTGCTGCAATGGTATTCTTCAAATAAAAATTATCCGTGAACTATCAAGCGTTTTAGCGATGCCTAAACTTTCTTTCTCTAAACGGAATTTACAGAATAAGATGATTTAGATGAGATGTCCCCTCAAAACATCTAGTGATGTTTTGAGGGGAGTAGGGAAAAGAAGATACTGTACATTAATGTTTATGGTTCTATAATAAATGTAATACGCATTGCTTGCAGAGGAAGTGAAGTCAAATGAAGCAGAAATGTTATTTTAAAATAAAACAATATAAATAAAAAACACTGAATGAAAAACATACATGAAATTACTGAGAAATGCACTAAAACAGCATAATATATATCAAAACTTTTAATATATAGTGTCTCATATTTTTATAAGTTTATAAATATTTACTGAATATAACTTATGTTTGCTCATGTACTGTATATGTTGTTTATTGTTGTTAATTTAAGCCTTGTGGGTGGTCATGGTAAATGTAGATCTACCAATGGTCTGTGCTTGTTTCCTCTACTTCTCACCTGAATAACCTGAACCAAGCAAAGCACTGTCCATGTGAGAACTCACAAATGCATTTTATCAATAAATTCACAAATCTGCATTTTTATTGCTTCTCAGCAAAGGGTGGCACAGTGATGTGGTGGTTAGTACTGCTGCCAATTTCTGGGGTTGTTGTGGAGTTTGTTTGGTTTCCACATGTTCATGTGGGTTTCCTCTGGGAGCTCCAGTTCCCACCCAAACTTATAGCAGGAAAACTAGCCCTGGTGTGAGCTTGTGCATGTTTGTGTTTGTGTTTGCCACGTGATGGACTGGTGTCCAGTCCTGGGTTAATCCTGCCTTGCACTTGTTGCTTGCTGGGAAGGTTTGGATTCCCCAGTGACCCTGTACTGAATAAACAGATTAGAAAATGGATAGATGGATATAGGCTCACAGAATATTAATATCAGACTGTTCCTTAAAAACATAGCATATAAATATGTTTTATATGCTATGTGATATATGCTAGAGATATTAAAACATAGCATATAAATATTGGATAGAACAGCCTTTATTGCATTTTTAATCTTTCACAGTCTTTTAAAATCAAGCAACTGTCAGTGACCTACAGAAGAAGTGATGGAAAAAGGCAAATAAAGCAGCATGATTCTTTCAGTTAATGGAAGGTTGAAAATTACAGAAGGAAGTGATCAATACTGCAGTGACCTCTAGTGGCTAAAACGGCAATATGTTGCTGGAACAGCCAAGTTATTGCGCAGGTATTCTGCAGCTGTGTCTGCAGGTTTTTTATGTCACTTTAAGAGTGACAACAGAGATTGCGTACAGTGGCCAGGATTGTGTCGCTGTAGGTGTGCTTGTCTTGTCCTTTGTGTCTGTTTCCTCCTGCTAATCAAAGTCTTTAAACACAGACAGTGAGGCAGGAAACAATTAGCAAGGATTGAAGAACACACTGGTTGCCCAGACATAATGCAATTACCACACCTTTAGGATTGGTACATAGAAGTGTGTGGTGTTTCTGAGCCAGTTTGGACTAAACTTTGGGTGAAGTGGGGAAGGAAAGGAAACAAAGAAGTGATAGGGCTGCAGGACAACTGGACATATCACTCTGCAACTCACAACTGGTAACCCACTGAAGCTAAGCAGGTGTGAGCCTGGTCAGTACCTGGATGGGAGTCCTCCTGGGAAAAACTAAGGTTGCTGCTGGAAGAGGTGTTAGTGGGGCCAGCAGGGGGCGCTCACCCTATGGTCCATGTGCGTCTAATGCCCCAGTATAGTGACGGGAATGCTATACAGTAAAAAGGTGCTGTCCTTTGGATGAGATATAAAATCAAGGTCCTGACTCTCTGTGGTCATTAAAAATCCCAGGGTGTTTCTCGAAATGAGTAGGGGTGTAACCTGCCTAAATTTCCCATTGGCCCTTACCAATCATGGCCTCCTAATAATCCCCATTGGCTTCAGTACTCTGCTCTCCTCCCCACTGATAGCTGATGTGTGGTGACCATTCTGGCACACTATGGCTGCAGTTGCATCATTCATTGGTGGTGGTGGAGGGGAGTCCCCATTACCTGTAAAGTGCTATATAAGTGTAAGCAATTATAATATTAATTATTATTATTAAATTTGCATATTGACAGGTCTCAAACAGCTTATTGTTTATACCCGTAGTTCTCAAACTGTGGTACGCATACTACTTGTGGTACACGGAGTGCCACCAGGTGGTACGCCAGATGACCCTGGAAATTTTTTGTGTGCACTGAAATGGGTTTTCATATTTTCTATTTTAAGCGCGAGAAAATGCCTCAGGTTTTAAGATCTGTGTTAGACTTTGCTGTCAAAGTTGTGAATTGTATCAAGGCTCAGCCAATGAATTCACATCTGTTCAGTGTGCTTTGTAATGTGGCTGGTAAAATTAGCCTACCTGGCTGATATATTCTAGATAGACCTCAGGAGAGGGTGACTGTAGACCAAATGAGAGACTGATGACAGAACTGAGGTACTATGCTGGGACTTTCTTTTCCTAGGGGAAAAGAACAAAGGACCTGGAGAGCTGATACTGAATAGACAAGCGTGGACATGGCTGCATCCTTCTTCATTGTGGCTGTTCTTCTCCTAGTAACACATTCCACTACCAACAAATAGATTATTTTTGTATATATTAATGTAATTGTGTTGCATAGGACAATAAGGACTTTCTAGTGCCCTTTCCGTATTACCAAAATGGACTCTCGAACCTATTGGAGTTATGGAGTTTTGTGTTATGGATGTTGTGGTTTTGGGTAGTGATGAATGTTGTGATCACTAGAAAATAGAAAGGGCACTTAATACTAATGTCTGTTGCTGGTCTGAGGGTACACTGTGGGGTCTGGAAGATAAAAAGACCTTGAGACAGAAGAGCAAGTGTCATATTTGACACATTATATGTGCTAGTCGGAATAGTCTGCTACAAAGCTAAAGCAGTTTCTGCATCTACGGATCTCCTATCCATGACAAAAGAAGCAGCACTGAGAATCTGAAAATCTGGTCCTGTTTACCCAATAATCACCCTGATCGAACCCTTTAATAGCTAACCTGAAAGGAAAACCCGCAGACACAGTGCCCGCTCCACAACCAAAACTGAACAACCTTGCTTTAATGATATTACCCTTTGAGACTGCATTATAATTAACATCTGAAATTGGTGGGCTGTCACATCCTCTTAACATTGCGCCCTATGATTTTAAGTTTGACCCACATAGATTTTTGACATTTTTATGAAGATGTAGAGTTCAGGAGGAGGTCTAACCTTAATCTTGCCCACTTCTACCTGCCCACATATAAATACCATGTTTCTAGATTAATTACTGCCCCTGCAGCAGATCTCTTTCTCATAAAGAGTGGGGCAGGAAGATTGTAGTTCTTTTCAGCCAGAAAAGTTAAGTTTAAATCTGGGTTCATTGCTACTCCTCTTCCAACTTCCAACTACATTTGAATTGCAAACCAATTCATTTGTCTGTATTGCTTGTATCATGTTTCTAATACTCCTGCTTTAATGTTGTCATGCCTTCTACTCACCGCATTCCCACACATAAACGCACCTGCACTAATTTCACTCCAGCCCTGAGCACTTAGGCTAAATGACACTGTCCCTGAAAATCAGCCAACCACGACACTTCCTCAATCAACGCACCTCTGCTCATCGCCTGGTGTTGGTTGTACTTAAGTTCACCTGCCTTGCTTTTGTTCCGCTTTTGCCTTCTGATTCCTCGTTGCCTACCTCGGAGCTCTCACCTCGACTTCGCCAACTGTCTTGCCCCCTCGGACTTGGAAACCCACTTGTTGTTCTCCTCTTTCCAACTTTTGGATTTGCCTACTCGACTTTGACCTCAGCCTAGCCCTTCTCTGGTTTGGATACCCTCTCTCTTGCCTTTTTTCCTCACGGACCTCGGAACCCGACTCGGACTTCGCCTCTCGTTTTGCTCCTTAGGTACCGCATAGGGACCATCCTCCAGTTTCCTTAGCGGGTCACCCCTGACAAATGTACAGACATTTAAGTACCTACCCCATCACATTTTATTTTCCTCACTGTTGACGTTTTGTCCAAAACACTGCTTTGCATAACATTGATATTTCTTAAGAACATGGAATATATCCATTGGAATATTTATGGCAGCAAAATTAGTGTAATACTATTTCAGAATTTTCTACTGAGTAGTTTGTTTCATTTTGTTGCTGATTTGATAATAGCCTATACACTCATAATCAGAAAGCACCTTATTCTTGGTAGAGGGTTACAGTAATCAACACCTCAGAATCACAGGTCACAGGGTAGGATTACACCCTGAAGGGAATGTAGATCCATCACAGGACACACACACACGCACACTCATATACAAGGTCAATTTTGATAAAATGATTAACATAGATAGAGTATCTATGGACTATAGGAGAAAACCAGAGAATAGACTTCAAGTACAGAGAATCATAGCAATCCAAAAGTTTTGAATTAAGAAAACTTTAGCTGCCCAAATCATAGATGCTGTGCACTGTTTTAAATATCTACTGTATAACACCCCTATTAAGCTACATCTTTGAAAAGCAACATCAAACAAGACACACATTAAAACCATACTGATTAACCAACTATAATGATCACACAGTGTTACATTAAGGATAATAATACACATCTGTAGCATAGAACAACAGTGTAGGTGCACCATGGTCTTACCAAAGAGATAGCAAAATCTTCCTTCAGGATATTTTCTTTACTTCAGTGTTATTATTTTGTGGATTCATCAATGCGTTAAATACTTAAGGTGCTCCCTGCATGGAAGGGAATACACCTGGGGCAAAGCACAAGAGAACTCTGATGGAAATCTTAAAGGCTTTCTTCTGGTGATGAGGTTCAAGTAATTAGGAAATGAAGAATGACATAACCATGCTGACCTAGAGCCTGGGACTGGGGCTCGATTGGTATCTGGAAGGGCACAGGGAAAGAATCAGAGGGTATAGTGTCCATGGAGGAGGCAGGAGACAGGGTACGAGGTGTATTAAGTAGGACATCCTGGATCAGATTCCTGAGGTGTTGTGCCATCTCCATGGTCCTGGGTCCAGTTGTCTTCAGCCGCTGGGTTCCGATGTTTTGGGGCCCTGACATTCTGTTACGCTGGGCCGTAGATGAGAAAAGGGGCATTGCAAAGTAAATGTTCTCAGAGTCCGATTAGTTGTGAAGATTACAGAGTTTATTAGGAGGAAGGATGATGACAATGCAGTAATAAGGAAGCAGAAAGGAGGACGGCAGGCAGTTTTGGGATGGAAACAGGAGGGGATGATTGGTAATTAGCAGTGATAGCGTCTGCAAATGGGAACCGGAAGGCTCCTATTTGAGAATGGGAAAAACTGTGATTAACTCCTGGAAGCCCTGAAACATAAAACAAACACACACTCTAGTTAGGTGACTCAATTTCAGAGTCCTGAGAAAGGCTTAAATAGTGTATGTAGTTCTGAACGAGGCTGATAAGCCCGGCCTGATCTCCATAGTGATGGCCCTGATGAGCTCCTTCCACATGGAGATTGAAGGTGCTGATGCAGGAACACTGGAGCTCGTCTGGGCACCAATATCCTCACCAGAAAATAGTAAGGGAGCAATGAAGGTCAACAGGACATCAGGATAGACCAGAATCGTTAAAACTACTGGCAAATCCAACTGCAAAACTGCAGGAGTGAAAATGAAGCAAGACCCTGAGGATACAAGTGGAACCCAAGGGTTTTTTTTGCACTGTGGAATGAACAATCCTACTTTTTTACAGAGTGATTTGTAGGTGTCTGCTGCAAATAATCTGGTCATATGGGTTTATTTCCTATTAGCCTATATCTTTTTCTATTTCTACTGACACTTGAGCATTCAAGTGTCAGTAGAGGCTTCTAGCAACAACAGCAACAAGATGGGTCAAATCTTGTAGTGACGTTTCTTATACTCTTGTTAGGGAACAAAAGATTGTTTGAGAACCATTACTAGGACAGGAAATGAAAAGGCACAACACAGTAAAATCCTCATTTGATTGGAATTTATTAAATCTGTACAAGCACAATGGTATACAAATGTAAAACAGAGTCACACATCAGCAGATATGTAATACATATGGAAGACTGGGGGTTTGTCTTTCTATGGCAAGCCTCTCAAGGAAAAAAATATAGACAGAAACAGAGTAAAGACCAAGAACACATCAATTCACATCAATCACTCCTTTTTATAGAGTTTTGACCACCATCAAAGTGCCACTTATTCCTGGCAATGTTCTGTTGACGCAGAGATTAAAGAGAAGCAAATGACTCTAAACTGGCCATTCAGTTTAGAATAAGTATTACCTAAATTAGTTTATGAAACATTTTACAATTTGTGCATTGAGTTCTTATTTCTATACAGACTTAACTCTGTAAATCACAGATTATTTGTTTTGATTTATAATTGTGTAAAACTAAGGCACTGTACTGTACCATTCTGCATGTAACACCTTACTGCTGTTTGGGAAGATTGACTAGGGGTTTGCAAAACAGTTCTGTGGTTGTAACAGAATTTGTTCACTCCACCTTCTAAACTGTTTGCGCAAAAAGCAAAGTATGTCATTCATTCCATTACGAGACACTCTCTGTAATCACAGTAAAAGTTGCATTGATATGCACACAAAACAGGTCTAGGCACCCACAGACAATAAAAATATACAATGGAACAAAAACATATTTAGTGTAAACAAAATTTTACACTTAAAAGAAAGCTCTTCACAGTGGCTAAGCCATTGCAAAAATGTATCTGGATTGTAGACACATCAAGTCACTGATGGGAATTCCACATTGGGGATTTGTTTGTGGTCAGATCTCCTCAGTGAGGGTATAAACTTTGCCAAACCTCAGTATTCATCTGGGAGGACCCTGTTTGTCATACGACAATACACATTTGCAATACAATGTTTCTGACATATGAAAATTTAACTTTGCAAACAGAGGGACTTGGCTGAACAACACATCTTACTGCTTGAGTTTGGCAAACAAGGCACCTTCTCCAGTCTGGACAGGTAGAGTAAGGGCTGAGTGCTGCTGCTGATGTTGATGAAGGAGAATGCGAAGGGCTGGATGTAGCATGTAAATACAGCAACAGCATAATACTGCTGGAATGGGAAAAGAGCTACAGGTGGGAGATAATTAAACACTATAATAGCCAGGATGGACAGAACCATCTTGAAAGCCTTCTTCTTCATGGGGTGCATCTCATCTTTCCCTGGTCCAGATCTCTTCAGAGCCCACAGGATGGAGATGTTACAGAAGACCATGAAGGCAAAGGCAGTGAGGATACTGACAGTGAATATCTTCTCAAAGTTCTCAATCCCCCCAATGGCCTTGGCAATGGCATAGGCTAACGTGATGGCCAGCACCACCACTGAGCAGGCTGCTCTGTATTTGTGGTCTTTGAGACCTGTGAAAGTGATGGGATGCAGCACTGCTACATACCGGTCTAAACAGATACAGGAGAGAAACAAGGGACCCCCCATGTCCTTCACACCATAGGCAAACTTCTGAGCGAACTTGGCATCTTTGCTATGAAGCACATATAAATTAACTAGGCTCAGAGGGACCATGCAGCCAAAAAAGCCATCCAGAATAGCAAGGTTAAAAATGAAGATGTCTGAGGTGGAGGATTCACCTGTGTTTCTCAGTAAAAGCCACATGACCATAATGTTGGCTGGTAGACCCAAAACCACATTAAAAACCTGCACCCCTAAGTCAAACAGAACACCAGCAGGCATTTCATCACATCCATCAAATGGTGTCCATGGCTTCTGCAAGACATTGATTTTGCTGTTGTTGAATGGGAAAGTTGAGTTTGAGTAGGAAGAATCCATTTTGGCTTACAGTGAAGGAATCACACCCTATTCAGCAAAATCTAGAAAAGTGAAACAGAGAAGCATTTAAAATGTATAGCAAGAACAGACCAATGACATAAAGAACTGGACCAAAAGAACCCAAGAAAGATGAGAAGAAGAAATCAATGAGCTTAAAGGATAGTTAAAGGACTCTAGAAAGTACCTCAGCAATAATCAGTGGCCTTTTACAATATCATCAGCAGCATGTGTTTTTTTTTGGTTGGTGAAAAAAAGAACGTGGGAGTCTTTAACATGTCTCAATTCACCACAGTGCACTGATGTGCCAATCCAGAGAAATAATAAATGCATTATGACTTCAGATCAGAGAAGAAGCAAAATATCAGGACAACACTTTAGGTTAGCTTTTGTCCTTTGTTTATATACTTTTGCATCTAAAATTTGGTTTGCAAAAGAAAAACAACAATTTATGAAGCAATAATTAAATGGCTTTATCAACCAAAAGCTATTTTCACTTTCATGTGACAAAGAATTTTACCTTGTGCTTTTTGGATAACGACTACGAGAACAATCTATAATTTTACATGTGATGACAACCTGCCAAACCTAAGACAGGTGAAGAACAAACTAATATGATTAACTAAAATGGGCAGAAATTGTGACCGACTGCAGTTCAAATGAATGGCACAAATTCCCTCCTGTCATTACTACTGGAAAATGGTTCTGACTGATAACAATTGAATTTTCCTAGAAAGTATGATGTCACATATCTTCACACACATAGAATACTGGTTTCTAGCTCCAATATGCAATTTTAAAAACTACTGAGACTAAGAAAAAACACTTCAAATCTAACAAGGTCTGAAATACAGTACAGTACCACCAACGACTGTTGATAAATATCTTTTGTATGGCTATATCATATTAAAAAACTTTAATATTTTTTAAAAAAGTATATATTAAATATTAGGGTATATATTCCCCAGTTCCGCAGTGTGCTTATTAGATCAGTACATTTGGTTGGTTTGCAATGTTGGTTTGCAATAATGAAGTCATTTCATTGAACTTTTCAGGAAGTGGCCACAAATTACTATATGATTCCAACAACTTAAGCCCTCCTTCTTAGGTTATCAAATGAGAAATTGTTCAGTGTATATAATTCAAATATACAGAACATTATCGTATTTGCATTTTTTCTAACAAAGATATCTTTGAAGGCTGACAAATTGAATTTGTTAGAAAACACAGAATTGCTCTTAATTGCCTCTAAAATGGCTGTTAACCTTTCAGTGAGGAACCTGCCAATTCAACTGCCAATTCAAAATTAAAATAGGATTTATAAAAATCAAAATACATAGAAAAGAATGTTTATATAAAAGAATTTCTGTATACCTTTCAATATGCAGTCTCTTTCTATTTAAAGAATTTTCCACCATCACATGGAATGCTGTTCCCCTGGTCCATTCCGGCTATTAAAACTACTGTATACTACATTAATTATTAAAAGTACTGTATAGTATAGATTATTAAAACTACACTCCAGTTTTACTGTATAGAAATTGACATTCCTCAGTCATGATTTCAGAAATAATTATTTTGGTTTTACAAGTTGCATTGGTTCTCAATTTAAATAAGGAGCAGGGACTGACATTGGCGTTCTTCTAAATAAACCTGCTGTTGTCATTCACAATTAGACAACACTGAATACTTGTAAACCTGCATAGAAATCCAGATAAGACATGAATACTTAGAAAAATAAGAAATAGAAACAGAGTAAAACAGTCAAAACTTTGTACATATAACAGTAAATACATTTTATACAACAGTGGAAGCACATAGTGATCTTACCAAAGCAAAGGAAATGAATCCCTTAAGGTCTTGTTTGCTTACTGTGGCTACGCTTAACACTGTGGAAAATCCTTCAGGAACTCTCTTTATGGATGTGGATTTTGAACCTCTGGGAGAAGGCTATATAAGGATTTGCCACCCCTCTCCAGAGGATAAAAAGGAAGGGATTTGATGACATAAAATTAGACGAGAGATGAGGGGCCAAGCAGTTCCTATGTGGAGCCTTCAGGTGTCGATATTTAGCCTTCCATCACACCGGCACTCTGGAGAGGCTGTATATTCTTCACATCTAACAGATTTTCATCTTCTTGGCTGTTCAATGACAAGGACGGGCTCAGAGGCTGACAAAAACATGTTTTTCTCTTACATAGTATTTCTCATACATGGGAAGGTGTGTGGTATACCCATTTACAGATTGGCTAAATCAATCTGCATTTGAAAAACTGCAAGCTTTCAGAATTACTTTATATATATATTTAAGGGGAAATGAAAAGGTAACCTGCCCATGTCTTTAGCCCTCAAAAAAAGAAAGATGTCAGTGGGTGAGGCTGAGACTGATGGTCATTTTGTAAGTGTGTACATGTCTGTGGCTGTGTGTGTCCTGTGCTGAACTGGCATTCCATTCAGGAGGTTCCCTGCTTTATGTCTTTTGCTTGCCATTCTAGGCTGTGCCCCCTGACTTCAATCCTGTATTGAATAAAGCGGTCAGAAAATTACTGGATAAGTACTTACTCTTACACTTGAAGGAACAAAATATGTGTGGTCTAACGTTGGCTTTATGCCAGAACATAAAGTGGAACCTGTCTCTGTCAATAGGCCAAGAGACATGATCTAAGATATAAGATGCTTATTCTACATGTTTATTATAAACTTTTTGCTCAAACATTTATACAGGGAAATTATGCTTACTTGTACATTTGAGCTGTATGTCATGTCACTAGGTAAACTCATTGAGACACAGTTTTATGGGCGGTGTGGTAACAGTTTGCTTCACTAATCTTTGCATGAACTTTATGTGATGTACAGTAAATCCATATATAGACATATTTCTGTATTACTATTAGGGGGAGTGTCATTTTAGCTTGTTTGTTCCAGGGTATAAAAGACCATCTTTAGTTACTTATTTTCGAGTCTGGCTTGCAAGAGAGTTAGACTCCCATATGCATATGTAATAAAGGGCTCTTCCTACACAGACACCTGGACGTCTGTCATTTGTATGACATAACACACTGAAAAGTTTAAGATGTTTCCCAATACTTAATGTCACTAGAAAGCTCTGTGTTATGCTAAAGTGTGTTTTTTGTCCAAATGTATACATTTGATTTACCCAAAATAAAACATTCTAAATTATTTTTATCATGCGTATTAAGGTCATGATTAGAAATACAATTTGTGTGACTGTAAAGCAAGGAAACAGTTTTGACCTCACTGACTCATCATTTCCTAACAAGAAGACATAGCGTATAGACAGCATCAATATGAATACTGACAGCTACTGGGTGCTATTGTGTTATTAGAATTATATTCAGTAAGGGAAGGAAAAGCAGAACTATTGGACAATTTTATCTATGCAAGTATGTTTTATGATGTTACTTGTCGGTCTGGAATCCTATCCATTCTCTAATCACCTTTTCCAATTCAGGGTTGCAGGTGAGCCGGAGCTTATCCCAGCAAGCAACAGATGCAAAGCAGGATACACCCTGCACAGGATGCCAGTCCATCACAGGGCACAGACACAAACAAACATACACTCACACCGGGGCCAATCTTACTCGATTTAACCTAGCGGACTATCTTTGCACTATGGGATGAAACCCAAACAAGAGAACATACTAACTCTTCATGTCTGGAACTGAACCCTGGGCCCTGGCACTGTGAGACAGCAATGCTAACCACTGCACCAATGTGCTCCTTGAATACCCATATTTAATATCATATGGGTTTGTGAGAGAAGAGTGTGTCAGTTTGGCTTTAGCTGAAGCATCTCTTTAACTTTATGTGCTGTTTCTTTGAATTTTGGTTATCGTTTTTCCTGATGTTTGGGGATTACCTAATTTAATTTTTATTTATGTGTTTTTTTTCATTCTGTAAGAATCATATTCACAATAGCCATAATTTGTGTTGTATTTTTTACATATTTGTTTGAACGCAAAAATCAATGGTAAACACCTGGAAATACTGAAGTGTAATAACTTGCTAAAAGCTTATTAAAACTTGAATTGGGGCTGGAAAATTGGTTGCTTTCATTTTAAAGAAACAACAGCATAAATATTGCTGTAGATATATGCCTGCGCAAAGTTTTGCGTTTCACAGATCTCCAGCTCTTTCATGGTTGTGTGGAAGTAAATAGTTAATGTAAGATATGCAGCCACAGCTTCGTAGACAGAGGTCACCTGTTCATTCTCTGTAAGAATAGATGACCAGAGCTTTCTGAATGTGTTATTTGCAACAATAAGCAGTGCTCCCTTTTCAAAATCCAAGGATTTGCTTCTATTTAAGAGAGGATCACTTTATTAGCCACATACAATTTCTCGTATTAGGAATTACCCCAACTTCCCCTACATGAGACACACAGATAGGGAGAGACGCTTGGGGACAGAGGGCAGGGTCAGCCATTTATACAGCACCCCTGGAGTAGTTGGGGTTAAGGAGCTTGCTCAGGGGCCTAACAGAGTAGGATTCCTCTGCTGGCTGTGGGATACAAACAGGCAACCTTCCAGCCACAGGCAGAGATTCTTAGCCATAGAACCACCCGGTAGATATGTTACATAAGATACTGTAAGTATTTAGAAAACAATCCTACACAGAATCCACTTTACAGCAAAAATTAAAATACAAGTAATGTCATAACGAATAGGAAAATACTCATAATGAGGACCGATTACATGGATGCAATACAGTGATAAATATTTTGCAATCATTATCTTCTTACTAAAGAAATACTTAAGACTTACCACTTACTGCTTCCACAAAATATTTGCCAATGAAGTTTGGTTTCCAATCAGACGGTCCTGCATGTTAGCATCAATTTCACTTTGAAAATTCACAGCAATATTGAAATTAATATATAATATGGAAGTATTAAAACCAGACACAATTTGTGATCTTTGTAAATGCAGCACCTTGGAATTTTATGAGGACCTGGCTGACGTCTCAGGAAACCACTCCTGTCCCTCCCTCATATCATTCCTACTCATGCTTGATTTTAGGTGTTAATTGTTAAAGGTCGTTATTTTTTATGACCACATTTCGATAGCAATGCTTTAGAAAAAATAGAGACATGTAGACATGTAGAAATCCCTTACATGCAATACTCCTTCCATTGGAGACCAGCTCTGAAGCTCATTCTGAAACAAATATCACAAACATTATTTCCAATAGCAATATTTAACACAGTCCTCTTCAACTACTATTCCTTAACAGCTACACAAATGGCCTCATTGGGCCAGCCTTTACTTCTTCCCTTTTATCCCATTTTCTGTAAAATTGCTGTAAAAAAATTCTGTAAAATCCTCTCAATTGTATTCTTGCATGATGTGAAGAGATTTCAAAATTTTAATGATTAAGTCCATATGGCTATACTGCACTGAAAAAATGCCAAGAATAGGATTGCTGGTTAATTTTCTGACACAATTAAAGGAATCTACTTTGAATATGAACATCACAGATTCATACTATAAACAATAAACAGCAAACTGGTATTTCAGATAAAAACTCACATTGGAAGATGCCTGGACTTTTCTCCTGGGAATGACTAGCTGTGAGGGATCAGAGTCAAGACAGCCTCACCTGGAGCCCAGCGCAGATGGAGGCAGCTCACCAAGGCCAGCTGGATGAGCCCTGGACCCGTCTCCTCTGAGATGCAAAGCTCCAAGGAATTAGGAAACAGGTCTAGATGACCTTCCAGAACCTTGTCTGCAGCCCAATGCCTGGAGCCCCTTGGAGCAACCAGCATCAGTCAGTGGATCCCACCGGAGGCAGCTCTGGAGATGCCCTCTTACCGACGATGCCCTGCACCCCAGGAGGATTACCAATTCCTGCCTCACCCAATGGGAACGGCCTCCCTCCCAGCAGTTCATTCCACATACAGCCGTTCTTCAGCAGGGACCAAACTGAGGTCAGTTGATGGGATAATAGAATGAGAAGTGTGCAAGTAAATGTCTGGGATCTGAGAGCCAGAGTGAGTAGTTTGGATCCAAAGCAACAGACTAGTTATCTAGGCAATGCAGTAGAGGGGGAAGGGGGACTTGGAGGAGCTTAAAGGGAGCAGTGGAAATGTGCTTTGGCAGACGTAAGGCCACTGCATTTGCTGGGCAGTGTCTGGCTAAGACAGACCAACAAAAAGAAGACATCCATCTATTAGTGAAGAGAGCTTTCCCTGGATGGACAAGTGAGACTATGGACCAGCTAGCTCTGAACTACTTTGTACAGAAACTGACCCCTCCAGCACCTAAGCGGGATGTGGGTTTAGCTGGTTCCATGACTCTGGGGAGGGCTCTGGCCACAGCAGAGCATGTGGAGCCCATCCTGGGAGAGCAGCTCATCCAAGGAGAGGAAATGTATTGTCCACAGATGCTGGTGACCCAGACATCCGTTGTTCACGGACCAATTCAAAAGGGGAGATGCAGACAGCTGGGCAGTATGCCGGGCAGACCCACCAAAGAAGGAAACATTACAGATGCTGGAAAAACACCAGCAGGATAGCTTAAGCAGGGGTCTACTGTTCCATCACATTTCACCTTCAATTAACCAAAGACCTGAATAGGTTGGAATAGGTTGAATAGGTTGAATAGGTTGGAAGGATCTGTGGGGGTCCCTGTGCTGATGGCACAGTGCACCATAGCAGGCATTGCTTTGTCAGCCCTCTTGGACACTGGTCTGACCATCTCCAACTTACGTCCAGGAGCCGTGTCCAGCACCAGTGCAGCAAAGGGGGACTGAAAAAGAACAGCTAAGGCCTCTACTAAGAGGGAATGCAGATGTGTTTGTTGCAATCGAGGAAAACAGCATACAAACCTTGTTCAGCACAGGCAGTGGAAGCAATCTGGCGTATGTCTGCAGTAGGTGTGATCGAGCCCTCTGACAGTCCTTGGTCTGCCCCTACTGTCTTGATCCAAAAGAAAGACGGTTCACTGCGGGTACAGTATGTGCATATTACAGATGGCTCATCAATGGCACCAAGAAGGACTATTATCCCCTGGCCTCACCCTGATGAGGCACTGGATTATGTCTCAGGGTCCGCTTATTCAGCTCTTTGGACTTGCACAGCAGCTAATCGCAAGGTGAGGTAGCCACAGAGGACAGACCTTCTCCATACTGTAGGTCAGAGACTGTTACGATATACTGCCGTGTCTTTAGGACTGTGCAATGCCCCACCCACTTTTGAACAGCTGTTGGAAAAGGTTCTAAGTGACATGCCCAGGTCAGAGTGTGTGGTGTACCTGGACGACCTACAGGTGCATGCACCCTTATTCTCTGGGACCCTGAACAATTTAAGAAAGGTTTTGTAAAGAAAGGCTATTTTTTGCAGCAAGAGCCTCATTTCCTGGGGCACGTCATTGGGCAGACCCTGAAAAGTTGGCCATAGTGAACTCCTGGCCTGAAGTCAGTTAAGGATCTTAGGAGTTTCATTGGGTTGCCCTCCTATTACCATGATTTTGTCCCTAAATTTGCAGATGTTGCACCACACCTTATTTGTCTCACACTCAAAGGAGCTTGTTTCCATTGGGACAAGGATTGTCAATTTGCTTTTGAACAGCTGTGAGCTGCCCTTACAAAATCGCTAGTGTTGGCCTACCCTGACCCAGAGCTCCTTTTCATCTTAGACACTGAACCCAGCGATGATGGCATTGGAGGAGTATTAGCAAGTGGTGGCCTACTTCAGCTAAGCTCTCAGCCATGCTGAGAAGAACTACTGTGTTACACCTCATGCGCTCCTAGCTGTGGTAAAAGCTATGTGTCGTTTTTGCACCTACCTCTGTGTCCAGGCTTTCACCCTCCATAATGACCTTCTTTACACTGGCTGCTCAGTTTCAAAGAGCACCAGGGTTCAGGTGGTGCGTTACCTGGAGGTACTGCTGGTCCTTGACATTACAGTGGAGCACCATGCTGGGAAGTATCACCTGAACGCAAATGTCTTCTCCTGCTGGCCATGTGCACAGGACCCATGTCAACACTGCCTCTGCACAGTGAACAAGACAGCACTGGGGCTGAGGTGGAGCTGATGAATGCAGTTGGGATGGGATGATGTTGGTATCACTACTTTTGAATTTTATCAGTGACATTATTTATTTTACATTTCTAAAATAGTTTTTAAGGGAACATGAAGTGTATACCTCACCAAGCACATAATGAAGTTTTTAATTTTGGAGAATGAGCCAACTACATTAACACATACTGTACACAACATTTTCGGTTAGACTGAGCAACGTGATGTCAAAACGAGTTGCCAAGTTAAATGATTCCTTGAAATAATATACTGTACATGCAACAATGAGAAAGTCATTCAAATGACAACCCACATCTTTTATGTTAGTCTGGCCTCTTTATTAATGGTATAGTACACATCCGTTTCTTTTTCACTATACTGTATATACAGTATATGGCTTTAGAGCCATGGTGGTTCTGTTATTGTGGTACATTTACAGAACATTAACCAATATTGGAACAAAATATTAGAAATCAGCAAGCTGTTACAAACTATCCAGTGAAATTATTTTATTATTTTACAATAAATTCATCAGTACAAACTATCAATATAGTAAATAATGCATGCCTCTTGTAGCCTATGTATATTATGGTATTAACAAAATGTATTACATTATGTTTAACATTGCATATTGTATCATTATATAAAAATGATTATGGGCAAAATGTACATTTTATTCTTTACGTATTTCTATACATATTTTGCATTTAATTCAGATTTTTACAGCTGTCCCTAAAATCATTGTTAACCCCATTACTGAAACGAAAATCCCCCAATGTGATACATACAGTAAGAATGGTTAAATCTTCATGCTATCATGTGATAGGAAGAAGAAAGAAAACAGGACTCTAATGAAGTCTTGGAAGTTCTCCTGCAGAGGCAGTGGTATAGTAGGAGAACCAGGAGACAGTAACTGGAGCTCACTAGTTTATGGCCCTTTTATTGGTACACAGGCCTGACACTGACCGACAGAGGACTAGGAGAGAAGTTGGAGGCAAGAGAGGGGAGAGTGATTAACAGTTGCAACTGCTCAGTTTGGCTGTGTGAGGGGAAATGGGTCAGGGTTCAGAAGCTCCCAGAGAGACTACTTCCAAAGGTGGACCACTCCACTGCTCCCCCTCAGCTCCCTCTGACCTGAGGGTGACTTCAAAGTGCCAGTAGCACTGTATCACTCTTCTGTCTGCAGACATGGTCAGGGCGCTGGGGAAGCAGTGCAGACAGGGTGCTGAGGACTGGGAAGAGAAAAGAATGCGGCTTCTCTCTCCACATCAGGGGCCTGGGCAGCAGGGTGAAAGAATTCTGGGGCAAAGCTGCGTGAGCAAACCCTCCCCTGGTAAGGGGGCATACAGGTCTGATCAAGGATGGCTTGACAGCCCCGGATGTGCAAAAGGACACTGTAGCTGGTTTCACTCACCCTCTCAACAGCAGTGGAGGCAACCCACTTAGTGTCAAGTTTTGGACTGCAGTCTTTAGCTCTCTTTGGTCTGTATACCCACAATTTCTCCTGTGGCTGAACAGGGGTGCCTCTGGGCTTCACGTGGGTAGTTTCTTGAGTATCTCTCACCTACTGCTTGGGCTCACTTGGCTCTGTATTCATGAGCCTTTTCTTGGTCCTCCCTGAGCTATGCTGTAAGGGACATTTGGGGTACTGACTAAAGCCAGCTTCTGACCTAACATTAGCAGGATTGGGGTGCAGGCACGGGAGCACTGTATGGCTGACCTGCCAGCTAGGACGGGACGAACAAGGTAAACTGCATTTTCATTCTTTTTGATGTGCCTCCATGACTAGAGACACTCCACCATGCCATTGCCCTGGGGGAATATGGGAATATGGAATATGGGTGGTGTGAATTTTCATAGGCTGATCCAGCAGCTCTAAGAAACTCACTTACCACATGGCATGCCTGAGTCAATTTCCAACCATTTTGTTCAAATTGTAGTTTCTTTAGCAAAAAAAA